GCATTAAACGTATAAGGATTATGTGTGTGTGTGCTCATTTGCAATAGTGTTGCGTGTGTCATAGAGCAAAGGTTTGAATCTCCGGGTGAGGCACTCACGCGCTCCCCGTACAAAGATGAAGCTCTGGCACACAGGTGGTTAGTTTAAACTCATAACTAGATGTGTTGTGAAACTGATAACTCCGTGGGATATTGTGTAGCAACCTGCAGGAACAGCATCTTCTCTGTCCTGAGAACTGGAGGTCTCCCACATACACAGGGGCCCCAACCCTGGCGTGTGTGTGTGAAGATAATGAGTCCCTGTGCAGGACAAGGTCAACTCCTCATGAGAATGAATAAAGAAACAGGGAAATGATAGGACGGAGCTCACAAACACGGAGAGGAGAGATGGATATGCCGAGCCCTGACTTTGTGTCTGTTGCTAGGGATATTTAATCAATTATTGTGTTGTGTGAAACCATAGAATTATGTTTTTTATGCTTTGATGCTTGACTTATTAAATTGTTAATACTTATAGATCGTCTACCGTCTTCTGTTCATCGAATGTAATTCCAATCAAACGATCTGCGCGGGGTCCTTCTGAAGGTGTAGTCTTTTGGAGTCAGATTATACGGTGGGCTTTTAGCCTGAGGGTAAATCCCCAACAGTTTCTAGGGCTGTAACTATATACGTATTCGTATTAAACCGTTCGGTACGAGGCTTACAAACCGAACAATACGTTTGAATAATACTAGTGCATTTGGAAAATGCAGAAGCTTAAATTCTAGGAAATATAATGTTTTCTGCGCTCTTGTAGAAGACAACGGTCTGTGTGACCTCTGAACCGGAACAAAAAAGTGTTCTGGGAGGCTACGCTAACTAGCTTAACGGGAAAACAACAGCAGCAACACGCATTCTGCTACACACTCAAGGGCACGGGCAACATGTCAAACTAAAGATCTGATTGGTTGAAGAATATGACAATCAACAATATCGTCCCCATTCACTTAAACTGCAAAGGGATGCACTTGTGAGTCTGCAGGCCTGGGTCTCTGTTCTTACCTAGAGACACAGAGGTGAGATCTGATTGGATAAAAGCTCTACTTAAAACAAGCTGCACTGGAAGCAGAGCAACTGAGGAAGACAGTAGCTGTGCAATGAGAGAATAAGATAATATTTTTATAAATTACAATACATGTAGTGTATTTAAGAAAAAATATTAAATGATAAAATAGCTATAACTTTGTGATTCTGTTTAGATACAGCCCAGCACTGAATATAACGTTAACGTTACCGGCAGCTTGCTGCTGCAATATAACGTTACCGGCAGCTTGCTACTGCAATATAACGTGACCGGCAGCTTGCTGCTGCAATATAACGTTACCGGCAGCTTGCTGCTGCAATATAACGTTAACGTTACCGGTAGTGGTGTAACGGACCACGGATCGATCCGTGATCGCTTTCGGATCACATCTCACGTTTCGGATCACACCTCACGGTTCGGATCACACTTCACGGTTCGGCACACTTGTGAACCGCGGATTAATTGATTTTTTTTTTTTACAGTTTAATCATTATAGTGTGTAATAAAGTTGTACTGCTGCTGTTCCTTTTCAAGTAACAAGTCCCCGAATATCAATGCAGTGTAATTGAACAGATATAAAGCAGTAGTGTGTTCATGTGAACAGAGCTTGTTAGACTTTTTTGATGCTGTAGACCACACGTGTCAAACTCAAGGCCCGCGGTCCGAATCCGGCCCACCACGTCATTTTATGTGGCCCGCGAATCCACCAGCAAAAAAAAGTTGTTTTTTTTAAATTTTCGAAAACAAATTATAAATTAGACTTGAAAATAAAAATATCCCCATGGTCAAAATTATGAGATAGAAAGTTGAAATTATGAGATAGCATGTTGTCTGTGTACCGACATTAAAACTATCACAACAGGTGGACAGGAGAGGGAACAGACCGTAAAGCGGTTTTCCAACAAGTGACTGAGTTGAAAAAGATCGACAAATAATCCCAAAATGTCCACGAAGAGAAAAATTGATGCAGAGGGAAGAAGATGTAATTTAAGATGGGAAAGCGAATACATGTCTGTGCTTCAAGGAGAAAAACGGGTCTGTCTTCTGTGTTATGATGCGTGTTGGTGATGAAGGATACTATTCATGTCGGCATTTTGACACCAAACATGGAGCTAAATTTAGCCTCCAAGAAAAACATCAAATTGTCCAAGAATTAAAAGGCAGACTGCAATCACAGCAGAATATATTTACAAAAGCTACAGCCCAGTGCATGCTAAAGGTCTGTGAGCAGGTGAGCTCCGACCAGATAGACTTTTACAAATGTCAGTTTGTGAAGAAACACCATCGCAGACCGAGTTCAGGAACTAGCAGCAATCTAACAACACAGCTAGCCGAAGAGACGAGCAGGTACTTGTATTTTTCATTAGCTGTTGATGAAAGCACAGACAACACGGATACAGAGCATCTATCAGTGTTTATAAGAGGCTGAAGGCAGACTTGACTGTCAGTGAGGAGCTCTTGGATGTAGCTGCCATGCACGGGACGACGGCAGGGAGGGACATTAGTGATGCAGAGAGGTGACAAAAATAGCTTTGAACAAAGTTAATGTAATGACTTGTGTTTGATGATATTTGTCTTTGTTATTTTCTTTAATAGTTTAATCTTTGATAGAGTAATGTGGGTTTCTTAACCCTAAATTAAAAGGATTTATGTTATAATAACAGAAATGTGCTTAAATATCATTTTACATTTATATAACTGCATGTACAATATTTTTACACCTGAATAAACAATAATCAAATGCAGAGAGAGTTATTTAACAATATGTTAGGGAGTAGTTACAGTTATACAGTCTTACAGTTACAACCGGCCCTTTGAGGGAAACCATGATGCTGATGTGGCCCGGAGTGAAAATGAGTTTGACACCCCTGCTGTAGACATTGGCTGTTTTCTTTCAATATTGATCAAAGGACGAGGGTATCAACAAACCTCATGTTGCACTTAAACTTAACAGAATTGAGTATTCTTGAATGTTCTATTTTTATTTATTTATTTCATTTCAAATTGGAATTCTTCAATATTTTTGTTTTCATGTAAGACTATAGCCCAAAGTTCTTTGCTTTAAGTATTCTTGAAGTTCTTTAATTAATGAATGGTTAGCAAAGTTATATTTGTCTCCTCCCCTTGCTGATCCGAACTCTGACTCAAGAACCGTGATCCGAACCGAACCGTGAGGTTTGTGATCCGTTGCACCCCTAGTTACCGGCAGCTTGCTGCTGCAATATAACGTTAACGTTACCGGCAGCTTGCTGCTGCAATATAACGTTAACGTTACCGGTAAGGCAAGGCAAGGCAAGTTTATTTGTATAGCACATTTCAACAACAAGGTAATTCAAAGTGCTTCACATAAAACCATTAAAAGCATCAAAACATAAGGCAAAAGTAAAGGAGATTTAAAAACAATTAAGAACATATATTGAAACAATAAAAACAGTCATTAAAACACTAAAAAAAAAAACAGTGTAAGAAATGAAATACAGTAGTAAAATGCAGAAATGCAGGTTATCCCTATACACAGAATTATTCACACAATATCTACGTGTTCCAAACTTTGACTTGCGATAGTTGATACTCAGGAAATCACCGGGATTCGACTTTCAGGGCGCAAACAATCAGTGTGTATGGAATACACCCGAGTCACTGATCTGAGCACCCCTGTTAGTCTACACAGTGAGATACACTAGTCAAGTATTTTCCACCTCAATTCTTAGTTTCTGTTAGATCCAGTCATTCACAAGTACAGTTTATTTCATACAGTTTTATCACAACAGTTTTATCACATTGCGGGACTCTAACCCGGCCTCCCTGAGGTCTTATTTAGTGTGGGACTCCGACCCCGCCTCGGGACTCTAACCCGGACAATTGGAGGCGGGACTCTAACCCCGTCTTGACGCGGGACTCCAACCCGGTCTCAGGACTCTAACCCGGCCTCTCTGAGGTCTTTCAATGATGCTTACACTTTTTATCGGTTTACCAGGACTTTTCAGACATCGTAAAGTAACATCACTACATTTTGTGTTTTCAATCAGCAGTATTTGGAAATTGATTAATGTATTAATTGAATCTGGTTTAATTAAAGGCAGCAGCAAACAGAAAAGTCTTCAATGTTGATTTAAAGGAGCTGAGGGTCTCAGCAGACCTGCAGCTTTCTGGGACTTTGATCCAGATATGTGGAGCAGAACAACTGAACGCTGCTTCTCCATGTTTCGTTCTGACTCTGGGAACAACTAGTGGGAACGGTAGTGGTGTAACGGATCACGGATCGATCCGGGATCGGTTAACAGGAATAACAAACAAAATATCAAAACGCCTTAAGGATTTGGTGGATAAGAAGTACAAACGATACTACCTGTAGTGCTTACACAACTAAGCACATGCTACCTGGTAAGGTAAATATTGAGCAACACAGCTTTCTTTTCTGTAGAATTCATATAGCAAGTTCAGTGTCCTTACAGAATATTAGGATTGTATCGACATGAGGTCTTTGGGACTTAGACATACAATTGATTGCATATGTTTGACTCCCATTTGTTCACAACATAATGCAAACCAAGGAAGGATGTGGTCAGTAATAAAATCACAAATAAGAGGCCCACTTTTATTTAGTTTTATTTTTTCTCCACGATTTCCAAAAAAACGTATCTGTGACGTAACTGCAGTTCAGGCAGACGTGAGTAGTCGATCCCAGGACTCGGGCAAAGCAGAGCAATGTTTTCATGCCTGCTGAAGACCTGCGCTAGTCACTCTGCCATGGCGCCCGTGATGTCGCTGATGAAGGAGTGGACATCCTAGCATCGTGTTTTAATTCGCTTTAGTGAGAGGTATTCTGTGCGTTTTGCTACTCCAGGTTTGAATTTAATTGAATTTATCTCTGAACCCGCCATGACCGTGGAGCAGAATGTCCTCCAGCAGCATTCTCAGAAGGTAAGTTTACTGAAGCTAACTTGGTGGCTAGCTAACGTTAGCCTAATTGTATAGCCGCATAGTTGTAGGGCTTAAAGTACCCGTAGAGTCGGCTAGTCTGCTTCTTAGTTAGTTAGGTATACATTGAATTGTTTTGTTTTTTGGTTACGGGCTGTTGCCGAGGAGCTGTTTCTAAATCTTAAGTAAATCTATTTGAACTAGGCCTGACGTTAGCCTAGCGTAAAGCGTTATCCAATATTATGTTGCTAGCCAACGGTAGCTAACGGCACTACGTAACGCTAGCTAGTGTGAAAGTAAAGTTAAACCATAGCCTTGTTTCTGTACGTTGGGTAACGTTGACGATTGGCAGCAGTTCATACGTATTAATGCGGAAAAATGCTTCCCTTTGTAACGTTAGCATCCTGGGCTAACTGTGTCGTCTGTAGAAATACACAAGGCCGAGTGTCAGTGACAGATTTAACGTAACGTTAGTGTCAGTGTCGTCAACTTAGTAGTAAGTAACGTTACGTGGTTTATTTTCACGGGGCACTTTGCTGAGAACAACGTTAACGTTGAGTTTTGGAGAATTGGATACGCCGTGTTTGTGTATGCAAATGTTTCCGAGGTTACTCATCCCATATCTGATATCTTTGTTTACAAAGCATGGCCAGCGGCGGAGGTAGGGACACAGCCTCGATGCTGGGCGGGGATTGAGTAACGTTAGCCAGATAGCAAGCCAAGTGTGTGATGGTTCACAACTGAGGAGGCAGATTATTAGGTTACATTTGATCATGGTCTTAGTTTACGAAAGTCCATTTGGGGTCGATTCCTTTGGCTTCTAGAATTCACACCATACCATGACTGATTTTGCTTAAATGTAAATTAGATTAGATGTTTCCTCTGCTAGTCCACATGTGAAGAAATAATACTTTTGCATAAGAGTAAGGTTATGTAATCACAGTCATGTTTTACCACACTGTATGCAATTAAGTACATCTGTTCACTAACGGTGTTTAAGTGTGTAAAACCAAATCTGACATAGCTCACTTATGTTAAAAAAAACCAAACACTTGAATATCTGATGGGTTGATGACAATCAGAAGTTTGGAGCATGGGCAAAAATAAACACTGTTGAAAAATCTGTTGATGATTCAAAGTGTTACACAAACCCCATTATGCAGTCTGACCTTTTGGGGCTGAAATGAATCCATGGGTAACAACAATGACATGACAGGATTTATACAGTTTTGAGTAATTTTAGTACAAGTATGAATATAATGCCATAACTTATTAGCTTTTAAGATTTGTTTTGACAATGCACGTGCACATGCAAGTGTTTTGCAGTTGTGCTCTATTATTAGATTGCTTCATGAGAGCATGGTGTGGTGCAGGTTTTTATGTGGTGGCCTGTAGATAGTGAAATGTTTAAAGACCTCTTCTGTTTCTGTCTGTGCAACTTGTTTTTTGTTTGCAACTCCTGCACATGCAAATCGGCCGTGAGAACCCGATACTAACCTGCTGTAAAGCTCCACAAGTTGTTCCCTGTACCAGGGTATGTAGAGAATTATGTTATTCAACTTCCCCTCACACTTCACTGACCCTGCCATCCTTCTAGTTTCTGACAGTGACCAAATCACACGGTCATCTTCATGTTTACTTGTCTCCAGTGGTTGAACCATGCTCAGAGATTTTATAAGCACACCAGTTACAATGATGTGAATGTTTTGTAAGGAATCTATTTAGGATCTCAGACACTGCAAACACAGGCAGCCATCATAGTTTCACTGACCTGCTGTTATTGGAGCCTTTGTTAAAAGCTGTGTTTTCTTCAGTTTTTTTGATAGTTTCTCTCCATTTTATTTTAGACAATGTATCTCCTAATAAATAGTGCTGATTGTCAAGCATTGTCTCCGGGATACTTGTTATTGTCTACTGTGACATGTCGGATAAGTCAGAGTCGTGCTTGCTCTATGAGGTTGCTAGAGAACACTGTCATAGTGTCATGTGCCAATCTATCACTTTGACCTAACATGCTACATGAGTATTAATCTAAGTTGGGTATACTTGCCTAATATGCCATGAGCATGGTCACAGACAAATTGTCCTCCCAAATTCAATTTTTGCCTACCTAACATGTAATTCAGTTTACACTCTAGTATGATGTAATTATGCACAGGGGTTGTTGACTTATGTTGGAAACTAAAAATAAAAAAGTGATATGAACGATATAACTTGCCTGCACCAGCTGACATTTAATGTGTCATTTCCAAATAGCCGTGCTGTTATTTTGTGTCTCTGGTGGCAAGAAGATACATCTGACATCACTGTAAACAAAATGTTGTGTATGTGGCAATGTGATATCAGGCCATGTTCACCCTTGGGCTGCATAGAGAGCACCTTTTCCCCAAGCTCTCGGGAAGAGTGCCGGGCTTTGAAGCACATTTTACACAGTGGACAAACGGAATTACAATTTCCGGTCCGTCACGTGATGCCATTGGGCCCAAAAATACTTTTTCACATACACATTCACAGACTGAAAGAGATGCCTGTAACTCCCCGGATATTAAAAAAACAAAACAACTAAACCAACTCCCCAGTACTTTATTTAAATCATTAAGTCCTAAAAGTTGAAGAATGCACCAGTAGCTGAATGAGCCCGTGAAAGAGGCTGGACCGAGGCCTAGGAGGCGGGGTTAAAGTAAAAGCTAGTGAGCTGGCTCTATGGGCCCCATAATGCAGAAGATCGATGGAAGATCTGAGTCATTTTTTACTCGGAAATCAAACTTTTCTTGCGTCCTGCGCCACTGAGCAACTTTGCTACGACGCTGTATCCAGTTCTCTTTCTACATCCATGCCTTCTCTCAGATCCGAGGCCTGTTGCCTTGAGAATTCAGTAGTGTTGGTGAATTGCGTTAGCTGATGTTTAATTAAGGAGCTGTCCAGATTTGTTCACCTTTATTATTTCACATGCAAGAGCACAGCACAAAACACATGTTGGATGAAAGCTTGTTTTATGTTGCTTTAGAACATGTAATTTTCCCATGTGGGAATGGGTTCCGTTGCCTTTTGTGTAGTAGCAACTCCATAAAAAGTGTGTAAAAATGTCTGTGACGTAGACGGTCTGCGGCGTTGACATGGGTGCGTGTAGTGCAGTGTGAAAACCACCTCCAGTATCAGGTCCCAAACCAAAGAAGACCCCTTTAAAGTGACACTCTTATCTGCTGCTTGCTGCACCTGTGAGAGCTTCAGTCAGTGCTCCTCTCACTCAAGACTCAGCCTAAGACTTGTACCTTGAAAACAGACACTAAGTGCTCTCCCGCATTATTTATAGTGCATTCATTCAGGCCTCACATTGCAGGTTAAGTGTGTGTGTGGTGAGGCCATGCGGTCCAGCTGGGTTTGACATCAGTAGGTCATCAGACTTCAGTGGGCTCATTAATAGGGATGAGAATCGACAGGTCCGATTAGAGGCTCAGATTAGATCATTTATCTGTGCTTCAAGTTCATATAAGTCATGTTAAATTAGAATTTATAATATTGTGATTTGACATTAGGATTATTCTGTGATTTGTAGATACTGATGCCCTCTCTCCCATCATGCTCTGCTCTGAACTGCCTCGTATCTTCCTCTCTTCTTCTCCCTTCAATAGCACCAGCAGACTCTACTTAACCAGTTGAGGGAGGTCACGGGCACCACAGACGTTCAGCTGCTTCAGCAGGCGCTGCAGGTACACCATGAAGCATTACACATGTATACATATACACACTGTTCTCTTGCTGTTTGTCCTTCTGTATGCAGAGACAGTTTCTGTTTGCAAGCTGTTTTCAACACAACTCATCCAAACACACACACACAGCAGAAACAGACGCTCCGCTCTCACAGAAGCATCATCGCATGTTCCTTGTAGGGCCGTTTCATGTAAGAGACAGGTGGGAAGCTTTTCTACCTCAAACACACATTTAACCCGTTCATATGAAACTGCTGGTCCATGTTAATCTCTGGTCGACACCGAGAGTTTACAAATTGTTCCACACACGTTGCTACTAATGCACAATTACACAGTTTTACATTAGATAAACACACTTTGTCGATCTTACTGCCTTCTTTTTAGATGAGCAGTTGTAATCCTCAACTCTTGGAAGCATAAGCTGTCGTAAACAGCAGCTGAAGTCAGGTTCAAGTTCAAGTGGAGTGTTCCTGCTATTTGTTGTCCTGTGTTTATTCCCAGCTGACATGAGCCTCATCAAACACATTGTTACTGCAGGTGAGCAATGGAGACCTGGCCGAGGCTGTTGCATTTCTGACGGAGAAGAATGCCAAGGTTCCTGAGCAAGATGAAACGACCTACTACCAGACGTCTCAGGTGGCCAGCGACAGATACATCAGCGTCGGCAGTCAGGCAGACACAAGTGAGCGGCTTACCTAAGCTTTGAGGCCCGGAAGTTCAAGAGACCTCACAGGGATGATTAAAAGAAGACAGAAACATGTAATTTTCAACTAGCTCTGAGTCATCGGCATGTGGGCAGTATGTGGAAACAAACAGCGCCTCGGCCTTCCCCTTGCCGCCACTGCCCAGAGCCCTCGGCTCGTTTGCTGGCAGACTTTTGCTGGCAGATTGGGTGGAGGCAACATGGAGGGAAGCCAACACTGCGATGACAAAGCTGGCTGAAAATGAGTATCCCTTTAAAGAAAATGTGAAAAAACCTTTTTAGAACAACACGGTTTGAACACTTCCAGAAACCATGTAAAATCCTGTTCATGCAAACAAATTCCAGCTTTGTGTGTTTTATTTCATGCAGATGTGATTGACCTGACTGGGGACGATAAGGATGACCTGCAGAGGGCCATTGCCCTCAGCCTAGAGGAGTCCAACCGGGCGTTCAGGGAGACGGGCATCACTGAGGAGGAGCAGGCCATCAGCAGGTGGGCTCAGCAGCATGACTGACTAATGACAAAACATCTGACCAAACTGTTTCAAAACAGTTTTACCAATCCTTAAATGAAAATGAGTAACACAGGACCCCTATAGTAATCAGGGATGTCCTGAGCCCATTGTGGAGGAGCATCCAAGCATGTTTTAATGGATCGTTCCGGGTAAAAATAAAGCTGATCAAGATCCGATCCTTTCTTTACTGTACTCTTCTGTGTTTTGTCCACCTCAGCCTGCCAATGTTAATGGCAGCCGCACTCCACATTCGAGTGAAAATGACAGTTTGAATGTGAAAAATGATTTGTTAGCACCTTTGATCGATTGTGTGTCATCTGTACTCTGCCAGATCTGTTCTGAAGATTGTTTATGAGGTAAAACCACCTGATTTATCACATAATAGTTGCATGTAACAACAGATCATTTCTGTCAAAGAGAGCTCTGTTCAAACAACCGTTCTTACTGTCTTGAAAGAAATGCAGTTTTGAGATTGAGTCTTGACTATTTTGTACATTCCCAGACGAGGTTTGAGGTTTCATGACAAATAATGGAATGAATACTTGGAATTACCACTTAAACCTCATTTTTTCCCTTTCATTCACCGTCCAAGGTATTGCAAAGGGTCACCTAACCTGTAATTCATGTGATTAGCTTATTATGTCCCGATAAGGGAGAATAAAATCCTCCTGAATATAACATTTTAAATCGCAACCCTTAATATAAAAGTACAATGTGACCCGACCGAAGCACAATGCCAAGGAGCCACACCGGCAGTGTAATTAAGCCCCGTTGACACAGACCCCTCTAATGTCTAACTGTCGCTTTGGAGAAACGCCTTTGCATTTAAATAGGACTCGATCAGGAGAGGAGCATTGTGAACAGCCGTGGTGGAGGTCAGAGGTCAACGTCACTGTGACCTCACAGAGGAAGACCTGGAGGGAATTTGTTTCAAATTTGGCATAAACGTCCACCTGGACTCAAGGATGAACTGATTGCAATTTGGAGGTCAAAGGTCACTGTGACCTTATAAACATGTTTTTGGCCATAACTCAAGAATTCATATGCTAATTATGGCGATTTCACACAAATGTTTCATAGGATAAAAATGATACAGGAATTACATTTTGGACAGACATGGATGTAAACTGCAGCATGAATGGTTGGTGTATTTTCTATTTGAAGATGAAAATAGCACGTTTTTGGAGATGCAGTGCAGGATAAACTGCAACAGGTGAACCACCGCTGAGTTCAGCTGGGCCTATTAAAGGTAGTGGTAGAAAGGTCTGGCAATGCTGAAATCATTTGGTAGAAACATAAGGTCCATTGCCTTGGACTGAATTTGTTTATGTTTTGACTTTTTTTTTTTTTTTAGAGTTTTGGAGGCCAGCATAGCAGAGAACAAGGCAAGTCTGAAGCGCACCCACACCGAAGTGTGGAGCGACTCACCCAACCCGCATGACAGGAAGAGGATAGACACCTGCCCCGTGGGGCTGAAAAATGTTGGCAATACCTGCTGGTTCAGTGCTGTCATACAGGTGCACACACACACACACACACACACACACACACACACACACACAGATCTGGTTACATATAAATGCATTCTGAACACACATTTGCAGATTCCTGTACACATTCATAAATCAGTCCAAGAGATTCTTGAACACATTGCGCACATGCAGATTGAGATGCAGATTGAGATTCAGCTACACAACTCTCCTCGCACATTTACAAATAGTTCTGCTACAATTATGGCCCCATAGGTCTTGACTTTTGCATTTCTTAGTGTGGTGCCATGTAACGGTAATGATCAAAGCTGTAATCTGGATAAGACGGTGTTCTGAATGTTTAGATGCTGGGAAGTGCTGGGACAGTTTTAGCCCAGCTGTCACAAAGACTCAGTGTCTTGTTTGCTGGTGGAGTCAGTGGTAGAATGTGACCTGAGCTGAAATATGCTAGATGAACACTGGATACACCATCACATGGTGTCATGTAAACCCCACCCTTGAACCTGATCCCACTGCACTTGGTGCCAGAACAGAAGTAAACAACTTTTTCTTTTTCAAATAAGATATCCAAATCTTGAAGACTTTTGTGTCTACTTTCATGTACCAAACGACAAACTAAACCATCATGACTCTAGTTTAAAGCAGGGAGAGTAAGTGGCTCTTGTTATACCGCTGCCCCAATGTGTGTAGTTTGTTACATGAAACAAAATCACACCAAACTAAGTTTTGATATTCTGGCTTTTTACGCTGAGTTTGATTATGTAGAACTTTCAATAATGCGTTTCCTTACTTTCCTACATCACCTTCGGCTGTTTTTCAGTACTTGCTGCAACAAGCACTATAGTATTCCAAGTAATACAGAAAGGTTACAGGTTGACGTCATATTTGTGTATGGTCCAACTTTAATTTCTGTTTTATGAACCACAGCTGGCAGAAGCATGAGACAAATTGACTTTCATGGGTTGGAATTGCTGGATGGGAAGTCTTGATATAATTGAAGAGAGCGTAAGCTTTTCATTAAGAACTGTGTTTTCATTAGGGAAATGTAGAGGATAGACACAAAGTTATTGAGAAACAGTATATTGCACATATAGCATGCATGTAAAGTGTACCAAGTAGTGTGAATGATTATACAAAGTTGAAACCTTATGGCAGGTATTGCAGCTTCTCGGCTTTACAGAGTGGAATACCACACTGTGTAAAAGGTCTTAAGTTATTATATGCCTGTTGGTGAGCGAGACCTCTCTATATTAAGACAACGCTGGAGTTTTCACGACAGTTAATCATGGTTTCTCTCTGACATGAAGCACTGTGTGTGGGCCAAGGCTGTCTTTATTATTGGATGTTATTAACATGTCTCTATTCCTCTTCAACCTTAAAGTCTCTGTTCAACCTGCTGGAGTTCCAGAGACTTGTGCTTAACTACTCACCGCCAGCCCGAGTGCACGACCTGCCTCGCAACCTAAAGGTAAGACCAGGGGGAGAAACCAAAAGTTAGATCACAATGCCATATTAAATACATTCTTTGGACAACCACAAGATGTTTGCTCATATCATAAAGTCTGGCGCAGTACGATTTTTATTTTATTCAATTGATGCATGAGATTGACACGAGACGATTCGTATGCCCATTTAACACAATCCGTTACATTTTTATCAACTCACAAAAAGCAACTCAAATATGATTTGACAATTTTATTACTGGCTCGGGTGAGCGGCTTGTCACTAAAAGGAGAATAGCTGGTCCACCTTAAAGGTCAGTCCACCTTAAGTGAGCCTGAGCTGAACTTCAGGGTCAAACCCTATTCACTTTAATCAGCAGCTACCAAGCGAGGCACGAGAACTTGGGTCTTGAGGAGTTGTATCATTTATTCACTGACCAAGAAACTGTACACACACTGCACTGCTACGTTCACACGCACTCTTTCTCTAAACCAGCCAGCGCACACTCGCAATCGTTACACCGTTGGCACCACTCGCTAACTCCACTAGCTAACACCGCTAACACTGTTTGACTGTTTAGAAAGGAAGTGTGCTTTGCCGGGAATGATGAAACAGACGTCCCTTGGGAATTTCCAAATAAACGCTGATCTTAAAGGTGATGATTTCACTTTGCATCAATGGTATAGAATCGTTGAACATTGAATCGATGGAGAGCGATGGATCCTTACAGCCCGAGCCAGACCTCTACCGTTCTACCAGCAATTACAAAGTGAGAGGGTGATGTTTTTAAATGCTTTTTGGTTCAATCGCCAGTGTGTGCCACATCGCTTCTGTTTCTATCCTTTCTAGTCTCTCACAGCTACCAGTGCTTCAGCTCTGGGGGCTTGACCCTCTTGGAGCTGTGAGCCAGCATTCAGCAGCTGTGGGAACATGCCCCAAGGTTACTGCAGCTTAGCGCTTCACCCCCGATAGTTCACGTAACTCACTGCTAGCAAGCTTCAAGAATTCCCTCCCTTTGAGAAATGTTTGATGAAACCTCCATGTTCAAATCAGAGATGCTCAAATGTGTCCAGCCACAGTCCGACTAGTTCTCAGTAGGGAGAATATGGACAAACCAAAAAGATGCTGTCGCTAATCTGGTCTAAGCCTCTGCTGTTGAAGTGTGTTTGTGGCAGTCCTCTCTTCATATTGTCCCTTTGGTCCTAACCACTGACCTTTTACTTCAGCAGTGTGACACTGCTAGTGCTTCCAATCTAATCTTCACATCAGCATCCCTGACTCACTAGCACGGAAAAACAAGTGTGATGTTATAATGCACCAAGTCACGTCACCTCCGTATCTCACCATCATGATGCCACTATGGTGACATTGCTACAGAGAAACTTTTATTTAAAACAACTTTCGTTGTTAAAAGTGACACATTTTCAAACAGGATATATGAAGAAACAAAACAATGGCTTACAGTTAATACAGCAGCCAATGGTGTACACATCATCATGTGAATGAGATTTGTATTATGCTCATGTAGTGTTGGGTTTGGTTCTGATCGGTCGTATTCCTGAAGCTCTCACCCAAATCACTTATCGAACCTTTTATCAAAGCAAAGACCAGTGTCGGTAACGTTAGCAGGTTTCTCAGTTATATCCGGCACTATTGCTGCTCATCTCATATACTGTAGCTGCTACAGAAGCTCACCCCTCAGTCATGTGTACATGATGAAAATACATTTTTAAAATGCTATAAAACGTTGAAAATAAAATTGCTGTATATTTTATCCATAAAGGATCACTGAAAACACTACAAACTATTTGGTAAGTCAGGAAAATGTTTTAAATCAACATTAACACCTCTATACAATAAGGCTGGTGATATTCCTTTGCAGGGGGGTATTTTCAGTTTCACTCTGAGATGAGGAACGCTGACTTGACTATTTGATTCACTAAATCGCTGATTGTTTTCACTTTGACCAGGAACACAGGAACCTGCCCTTCATGCAGGAGCTGAGGAACCTCTTCTCCCTCATGGTGGGGTCCAAGAGGAAATATGTGGATCCGTCACGAGCTGTGGAAATCCTCAAAGACGCCTTCAAGTCCAGCGAGTCGCAGCAGGTAAGCTTCTTTCTGCCAAAACCTGCTCCATACGATAGAACTCACCCAGCACAGGCAGTGTTTATTGAAGAGAACGCCATTATAGCAAGCAGGCTAGAGGTTATCTTCTTGTTACTACATAATATATCCTACGGAGGTCGGAACAGTTGGTAATCACTATCTGCAGCTGACATTTAAGACTATTAGTGCATAGTAATTACACACCAATCTCTAATCTTCTTATTTGAAGTCAATTTTTGGAGAAATTTGTCTTTCTGCAACAGGATAGCTCCTGAAGTCAAACAATGATTAGAAATGTTTTAGTCAGATGCTGAACTTGGACCTCATTGCTGCTGTTGATACAGTTGATCACCAAGTTGTTTTAAATGGACCGAGGAAACTCATTGGCTACTTCAATTATTCATTCTCATTGGTATCATTATGTTTTTCGGGTTGTTTGGGCAATTACGTTTTTGGCAGAAAATGAATGGTTAAGATTAATAGACTAGTCGATAAAATAATCAATAGATTGATTGATATAAAATGAGTTGTTACCGGCAGCTCTACTGTCCTTTTCATTCTCATGGACATAATATCTCAGGGATGCCTGGAGGGAGTTTCTTCAGATTTGGCACAAAAGTCCACCTGCACTGAAGGATGAACTGATCAGAGTTCTGTGGTCAAAGGTCACTGTGACCTCACAAAACATGGATTTGGCCCAAACCCAAGAATCCATATGCTATTATGACAATGTTGCACAAATGTCCAATGATGCGAGGCAGTAATTCTAGTTTGGTCTTATAATCAGCATGGCAGTCATCTGAGAAGCACTGGTTCTCACTAACCAGTGTGAAGAGGTGCTATGTAAATATGGTGTGATTGGTTTTTATGATCAGCACTACATGCTAATAGATGACGTTATGTTGTCTCTCCCATTGACATATGAATCTCTCCTTATGCTACCACCTTTAGCCAGATAAGGATTCCATTCAGTACATGCAAGTTGCTAATGTTAGCTGCTTTCTAGAGCACAGAGCATGGCTTTGAATGTACTTTGTTAAACATGCTGCAGCTTTACAGACTGACCTTTATGAAAGCCTTCTTATTCTTAAATTACTTTTAAGTTCTGTTTTTATTTGTTGTTCCATATTGTATGTTATTGGGTTTTAATTACCAGTTTAACAGTTTTAGTGATTTTGTTTTTGTCAAGAAGTGAATAATACTTCCTGATGACCAATTTGACAGACACATCACAATGTGAATAATAAGTGTAGAATCATCTGCGTTGTGCACACATATAAATCCCCTTCACACACTTCTTGTGCCTTTTCATTTCAACCACAGACTTCACTGCTCAGTTTCTTCTTCGTTCTACAGACTCGGCTGTACTGGACCTGAGACACTTAACCTCACTCATCCATAACTAATAATCCTAAAACTCCCCCCTCTGAGCTCTGCAAAAAATAATATTGACTAGGAATTAGCTGTTGGTGCATAAATCCTATAATGTGACTTACACATGTCAAATTCACAATCCCACTCTGTTCTTCTTACATAAGCATTAAGTCTCTGCGGAGATCAACTGGGGTCAGCCCTCTGCTCTCTGTACTCATCAGTCATGTCACTACTTTGTATTAGTCAGAAAGGCATTGACCTGAATTACCGGCTGGCATTGATGTCTATGAGATGATGGCCTTGTGGCATGCAGGTCCCCTTTGAAGTCCAGCAATCTGCCAACTCATCCACTAAGACGAGTAACCTCATAAGTGTACATCAGCAGATGACAGACATAGCAATGATTTCACTGATTGGTCTGTCTTGCTCCTAGGTCCAGTTAAGTCCTGTAGTTTGACTCTGTGACATGCACGTCCCAAAGGCAGTCCTGTAATTGCTCACTTTGTATGTGTGTCTGTGCTCTCCTCAACAGCAGGATGTGAGCGAGTTCACCCACAAGCTGCTGGACTGGCTGGAGGACGCCTTCCAGATGAAGGCTGAGGAAGACAGGTAGCCACAAGTCTTTCCATCCAGAGGTCCCCGTTAAGAGTGGACATGCAGTAGACTTGTGCTCCTTTGTTATTGGGCAGCAAGTTTTAAAGCAGAGAATCCCATGTACATGGTTTATGTTTAACTGAATCACAACTGCCTCCTGTAAACATCTTTTTTTGTGCTTTCAGGGAGGGTGAGAAGCCAAAGAACCCCATGGTGGAGCTCTTCTATGGTCGCTTCCTTGCCGTGGGCGTCCTGGAAGGTGAGATGAGCTGTTCAGTTCTGACAGTAAAGAGAGAAAGCGAGGAGGGGGGACCACAGAGACACGAAGCGTTTGCGTGGTCCGTCCTTGCCCTTAGTAATGAAAGGTCACCTTGTCTTAATGAGATGTGGTCCATGTAAAAGAGGAGAGCGGCTGCATTGATCGTGGAAGACCTTGATGGCTGATTGACATTGTGCTTATTATGCGTGACAATAATGGCCCAGAGCCACAAAACTGGGCCCGTGGACTCTGCTGCTCATGAAATGACCTTAACGCCTCATCTGCATGTCCGCTAGCAACTCCTCTCTCCCTTTGTTTTGCTTCTCATCAGTAGTTGATGCAAAGAGGTCTGTGCAGCTGTTTAATGATGAGTGAGTGACTGCTGAACAAGTGAAAATCAGCCTAGATGCAAACAAGTGTGAAAGTTATTGCATTAACTTTCACGCTCATTGCCTTTCCAACTCTTCTATCACACCTGCTCTCGCTCTCTCTGTCTTTCTCTCTTTCTTTCTCTCTCTCTCTCTGTATTTCTCTCTCTCTCTCTTTCTTCCCCCCCCCTCCTTCTGTAATTCCACAGGTAAAAAGTTTGAGAACACAGAGATGTTCGGGCAGTACCCTCTGCAGGTGAATGGCTTCAAGGATCTCCATGAATGTCTGGAGGCTGCGATGATTGAGGGTGAGATTGAGTCCCTGCACTCGGCAGAGAACTCTGCCAGGTCTGGACAAGAGGTCAGTGCCAAAGCAGTACGATTACAGTTATTTCCACTGAGATGAAATGAAAGTTATTTTGAGCTGAGGTGCACTAGCAGTATTTTAACAGCTGATAATTGGGTTAAATCATTTCGGATTGATGAAGTGGATCCTCTCCAAAGAGTTATTTTCCAGGTCCTTATGTCGCACCTGTGCTATTCTGGGTGTGACCTCCGGTTAGCTGTGGCCTTGCCTACACTGTCCCACAGCAGCTGGGAGCAGCTAATTACCAGGCCAGTGCACCCAGCCCTCTGGAAAAGCACCAGCCATCATGAGGGAGGGAGCAGGAGAGACACTCATCCACATCATTTTGGGATACCGGGTTTCCCACAGAAAAATGCTCAAAAAACACAACTTATGCTTGTGTTGTTCTTTTTCTGCATAAAAAAACAAATAAATGGACATTGCAGCCATGCAATTAGAATAGAAGGAAATGTTACCAAATATATTTGATCAGATATTGCTTGAGATTCTGTTGTGAAGAAATTGAGGATTCACTTTAAATTCGACAAAATAGTCATGTTATTTTCAACACTTTTGGTGTTCTGGATTCCTCATCTAAAGCGTTATTGTCCTATTTCAGTCACTGTGGGTGTATGTGTTCATGCCAGCTATATCTTGTAGTAAGGTACATGTACCACAAGATGGCAGTAGCTACATTTGAAGCACCATGTGAGAACCTACAAGTCACTTCATTTTCCTCCACACCTTCCTGCTCCTGTTTTACAAAAAGCCTTTTTAGAAAGTGAAAGGTTTCTATCCACTGTAACAGGGCTTTTACTTTGAAAAAGATACAGGAAGTGCTGAGCTTGTATGAACAGCATAATGCTGTAACAGAATGTACTTAATTAGATATAAAGGCCTGTCTGTAATATAACCCGCTCCACATTAAGCTAATACAGTCTGCAGTTAAAGATTGGTCCTGGTCACTGTTTGAGAATTCACAGTGATATAGTGATGTCTTTCAGTGATGCTTATAACCAACGAATAGCCTAACGGCACTTATGCAATCATGTTAGTTTAGGCTGCATATTTGATCAGAATCCCCTTTGTTGGCCAAGTATGTATGCACGTATAAGGAATTTGACTGTGTTGTTTTTTTTGCATCTCTCTAAATGTACTTACACAGAGATAGAATAAACAGCTTGGGACAACGACAACAAAGCCAAACTGTGAAAGTGGAAAAATAGGTGTATATATTCATATTATTATACGAATATATCAAAAGTGGCAATGACCAACAAAGAAATAAAACGTCTATGTACAAGTCAAGTGTTCTGCAAGTAGTAAACAATACAAATAGTGCAAAGAAATAAACACTCAATGGGTACACATTGAGTGGATGATTATGTACATACTTCAAGATACTATATACTGTATGTACAGTGTACAGGATTTATATTGACAGTGATAGATGTGTTCATATTTAAAAGATATATATTTTAGTGAGTGACTGATCAACATCCTTTATTCCTCTAGCACTGGTTCACAGAACTCCCTCCTGTGTTGACCTTCGAACTGTCAAGATTTGAGTTTAACCAAACCCTGGGCCGACCGGAGAAGATCCACAACAAGCTGGAGTTCTCCTCTATGCTCTACATGGACAGGTAATAATAACATTAGCGCTGGCGTTGATTGTAGAATCTGAAGCATTTGTCTCTTCTGTGACTGAGACTGAAGCCTCTGCTGTGGTCTTTGTGTCGTTAGGTACATGGACAGGAACAGGGAAATAACCAGGATCAAGAGGGAGGAGATCAGGAGGCTGAAAGAGCATCTGACGCTGCTTCAACAACGACTGGAGAGGTACTACTAGTTTACCAATAACCCATTATTTAGCCACGGTCAACAAAGCTCTCCAGATAGCTGTGGAGACATCTGCCTCTATGGCCTCTATTCTTATTTCTCTCTCTCTCTCCCTCTGCGTTCCTAACGCTCCCTCTTTCTCTCCTTTTCTTTCAGGTATCTGAGTTACGGCTCCGGCCCCAAGAGGTTCCCTCTGGCAGATGTCCTCCAGTACGCCATGGAGTTTGCCTCCAGTAAGCCGGTGTGCACCTCCCCAGTTGAAGACATTGACTCGTCAGCGCCCCCTGGTGGTACAACAGGACAACAGCTGTCCCCACAGAGGCAAGTTTCATAACAAGATAGCATGCCCTTCCTGTTTTTATCAGATTCAGCAAACCCTCTCAACTGCACAAACTTGTCATGAATTGTTTGTTGAATTGATGAATCCTGCCAGTTCATCAGTAGGTGCAGGTTTGTGTCGACAAGATCATTTTTTACAAAGGGTTTATCCTTCTTTTTTTCATGATTTTGGTAACTTATTTCAACCTGAAATTATAGATTTATTTGGGTCTTTTGTGAATTGTAAACTCATTTGAAGTTGATATGGTGAAACAGTATTTATGCATACAGTAGTTACAGAGCAACATTCATTTGGGTTCATGTTTCTGACCACCGGATGAACGTACAGTGGGTACGGAAAGTATTCAGACCCCTTTAAATTGTTCACTCTTCGTTTCATTGCAGCCATTTGCTAAAATCAAAAAAGTTCATTTTATTTCTCATTAATGTACACTCGGCACCCCATCTTGACAGAAAAAAACAGAAATGTAGAAATTTTTGCAAATTTATTAAAAAAGAAAAACTGAAATATCACATGGTCATACGTATTCAGACCCTTTGCTGTGACACTCATATTTAACTCGCATGCTGTCCATTTCTTCTGATCCTCCTTGAGATGGTTCTACTCCTTCATTGGAGTCCAGCTGTGTTTAATTAAACTGATTGGACTTGATTAGGAAAGGCACACACCTGTCTATATAAGACCTTACAGCTCACAGTGCATGTCAGAGCAAATGAGAATCATGAGGTCGAAGGAACTGCCCAAGGAGCTCAGAGACAGAATTGTGGCAAGGCACAGATCTGGCCAAGGTTACAAAAGAATTTCTGCAACACTCAAGGTTCCTAAGAGCACAGTGGCCTCCATAATCCTTAAATGGAAGAAGTTTGGGACGACCAGAACTCTTCCTAGACCTGGCCGTCCAGCCAAACTGAGCAATCGTGGAAGAAGAGCCTTGGTGAGAGAGGTAAAGAAGAACCCAAAGATCACTGTGGCTGAGCTCCAGAGATGCAGTAGGGAGATGGGAGAAAGTTCCACAAAGTCAACTATCACTGCAGCCCTCCACCAGTCGGGGCTTTATGGCGGAGTGGCCCAACGGAAGCCTCTCCTCAGTGCAAGACATATGAAAGCCCGCATAGAGTTTGCCAAAAAACACATGAAGGACTCCCAGACTATGAGAAATAAGATTCTCTGGTCTGATGAGACCAAGATTGAACTTTTTGGCGTTAATTCTAAGCGGTATGTGTGGAGAAAACCAGGCACTGCTCATCACCTGACCAATACAATCCCAACAGTGAAACATGGTGGTTGCAGCATCATGCTATGGGGGTGTTTTTCAGCTGCAGGGACAGGACGACTGGTTGCAATTGAAGGAAAGATGAATGCGGCCAAGTACAGAGATATCCTGGAAGAAAACCTCTTCCAGAGTGCTCTGGACCTCAGACTGGGCCGAAGGTTCACCTTCCAACAAGACAATGACCCTAAGCACACAGCTAAAATAACAAAGGAGTGGCTTCGGAACAACTCTGTGACCATTCTTGACTGGCCCAGCCAGAGCCCTGACCTAAACCCAATTGAGCATCTCTGGAGAGACCTGAAAATGGCTGTCCACCAACGTTCACCATCCAACCTGACGGAACTGGAGAGGATCTGCAAGGAAGAATGGCAGAGGATCCCCAAATCCAGGTGTGAAAAACTTGTTGCATCATTCCCTAAAATAAAATAGAAATGCTTCAGATGACTACGCTGGCTGTACTAGCTCAAAAGGGTGCTTCTACTCAATACTGAGCAAAGGGTCTGAATACTATGACCATGTGATATTTCAGTTTTTCTTTTTTAATAAATTTGCAAAAATTTCTACATTTCTGTTTTTTTCTGTTAAGATGGGGTGCTGAGTGTACATTAATGAGAAATAAAATGAACTTTTTTGATTTTAGCAAATGGCTGCAATGAAACAGAGTGAAAAATTTAAAGGGGTCTGAATACTTTCCGTACCCACTGTATATCTGTTTTTATTTCTACCCTCTCTGGCTCTTAAGCTGCTAAATGCTACACTCTGTTCACCGACTGGCCTCTAACTGTGTCTGTCTGCTGTTTGATGCCGAGCAGGAAGTCGACATCGCTTTTTAAAAACTCTTTTGCGGAACAGAGCTGCCTTCTGTGGCTAAAAACAACACAGACCGGTGAGAGTGAACCAAAACAATAAACTTACCGGCAACAGTGAGCTGAAACTCACTATGAAGCTCTGTAAAGCACATGAGCTGCAGATTCAGATAACAATCCTCTGTAGATTTATCACTGCACATGGATTGTATTCTTCTAAATTACTCGTACATGCCATTAAGAACCACTCTTTTCATCAGTGTTGTTTTTTCCAGTGTTGTTAGCATGTTAGCGGTGTTCCTCTAGTGATGGCGGTATTGGTAGGTTGGTCAGTCAACCAATCTCTTTGGTTCAGACTCAGACTCTGACTCATTGATTATAAGATGGTGCCCATGAAAGTTTGTACAGACATTAATGACCTTCTCTTGCTGATCCCCTGACTTTTCAGTGAAATTTAAATTTATCCAATACTTTGGTTTATGACCACATACCAGTACAACTGATGACATTCCCATCAGCCTCAGCTGTGACTTGCTAATTAGCAAATGTTGACATGCTAACGCGGTACACAAAGAGCTCCACCTGTTCATAGGAGTGCATGAGTATGTTCACTGGGGTCAAGTGTTTGTGCCAGTTGGGCCAAGCGTTGACGTTTGATTTTTAGCTAACCTCACTGGCACTACTTAAGATTGTTTCTGCTTTCACCCACTAGCCTGAATAGGATTGTTGTAGCATTATGTTAAGCTGCAAAAAAACCTGGTATTGTAAAATTGGACCAGATCCTTTTTATGTATGTTTTACTTGATATCCTGTGTGTCTCTCGCCCCTGCAGCACAGCTGAGCAGGACCCCTTGCCTCCCGTAGAGAGCTCAGGCTCTGCATCAGGTCCCATCACAGCTAACACTGCAGCCCAGCAGCAGAGAGTACCCATCCATAAGCCCTTTACCCAGTCCCGGCTACCCCCCGACCTCCCCATGCACCCTGCCCCGCGCCACATCACCGATGAAGAGCTGAAGGTGCTCGAGGGCTGCCTGCAACGCTGGAGGAGTGAAGTGGAACACGACACCCGTGGTAGGTCTACGGTACCTGCCTCCTATTCACAACCCTTTGTGCTAGGGTCCTGAAGCATGAATGACCTGTAGCTCTGTAATGATGCAATCTATTACCAATAGATTGCATATGATTTTCTTCCCACCAGATCTGCAGGGCAGTATAAACAGAATCCACAGAACCATTGAGCTCATGTACTCTGACAAATCCATGATGCAGGTGAGCAGCTCTTTACTGGAATCAGACATATTTGAAATACAAAAAGCCAAATCAAGTTCTCCGCTTGTTAATCAACATTCCAAATCTCCTTTGCTCCAGGTTCCATACCGGCTTCATGCAGTGCTCGTCCATGAAGGCCAGGCCAATGCAGGCCACTACTGGGCTTACATCTACGACCCACATCAGCTCTGCTGGATGAAGTACAACGACATCTCTGTCACCAAGTCGTCCTGGGAGGAGCTGGTCCGGGACTCGTTCGGAGGCTACCGCAACGCCAGTGCCTACTGTCTCATGTACATCAACGACAAGAAGCCCTTCCTCATAGAAGGTAAACATGGACAAGGGATGCTTTTACTGACTGATAGCCGAACCTCGTTAACCGACAAAATTCCTGCTTACATACAGGGGGGCTGCGGTTGAAGTGCCTAACAGGGAGCTGCAATGATAATCGATGCACAAAGAGGTTGAATCCACCATTTATAGCCAGTCGCAGTGTATGCACCAAACGGGCACGATGCTGCGTGCATTGTCATGGACACACAGCGGCAGTTAGTAAAGCTGCGAGGTTGTCAGCTGTGTTTCTGCCCGGTATATACTCAGTCAGGGTTTCTCTCAGTGAAAAAGTATATATTTTCTTTACTGTTTAGCTGTTAGCATTTATCGTTCCAAATTCATATTGTTGGTTAATGATAAAACGATGATTTATTAACATCCCTAGCATGGACCAAGGCTTAGCCAGTGGTAGGGTTTATATGTGTCTCTGATCAGTTATCTTTCTCAAAAACACGGCCAAAAGATAACATCTGCTCCTAGTTTGTCTCGTGAAGGACTGATTCAGCCATGGGAGACATGTTTACTGTGAAGCTGGCTCCACTGAGACTTTGTATTGCCATCTCTCCTGCAGACGGTTTGTAGTGGTTTGTCCAGCTCAGACCTGCTGCTGTTGAGAGTGAAAATGAGAAATCACGTTCTTGTCAAAAGCTTCAGTTTGAGTCTGAGCACCAATGTTTTTTTGTTTCCTGGTGTTCTAAGTGAAATATATAGTTATTTCTGTTGGAAAATTTATATATAAATAACATTGCAGCAAGTAACGGTCATGTTTTTGAGCAGACCAGATCACAATCATTGTCTCTCTCTCGGGGTTGTCTCTGCAGAGGAGTTTGATAAAGAAACGGGACAGATACTCAGCGGCATGGACAAACTACCTCCAGACCTGAAGCAGTATGCGAGGAAGGACAACGAGCTGTTCGACAAGGAGGTCGAGGAGTGGGACGTCCTGCAAGTCCGCAAGGCCCAGCAGGAGAAGCTGGCCCTGGCCGCAGCAGCAGCAGCAGCAGCAGCCGCCGCCTCAGCAGCATCCAGCATCTCCACCTCTTCCTCTTCCCCTCAGCCAATGAGTATTGAGTCCAGCCCTCCAGACAACACAGGTCAGGGTCCTGACACATAGACTACAGAGTACAATGATTAAGTGAGGATGAATACAGAAAAACTCTTGTTCCCTAAATAGTTTTAAAATGTTATGGAAATGACCTTGAAATATCGGCTTGCAGCCTTACAACTCCCTGTGTGTGTGTGTGTGTGTGTGTGTGTATTCTTGTATACAATATACACAGTATATCACAGGGAAGGTCTTGGCTTAAATAGCCGGCTGTAAGAAAGTGCTCTTTGACGTTTATGATGCAGCCCACGGCACTTAAATGTATTTCTATTGAATGATGGTGGACACATGGTATGATGATTGGGTGCATTAGGCAGTGAAAGGTTTTTGTTCTTGGATTGTAATTCAAGCAAGCGTGTTGGAACCCAATTGATACTTTTAACGTGGACCTCAACTACATTTGACTCTAGGCACCTGTCCAAAATACGAGCTTCCCACATGTAATCCTGTAAACGCGATGGATCATTTCCAGATGAATGTAGACCTCGTGCACTTCCTGAGAAAAGAAAACTTCAGTAAAGAACTGTGCATTTTTTTGTTTCTCTCATGGTGCCATCTGCCCTCCCACAGTACCCCAGCAGGAGCCCGAGTACATGGAGCAGCCATCACCCACGAATGACTCCAAACACCTGCAGGAGGACACGGAGAGGGCCATCTCCAGGGCTGCTGCTGAGCATGAGGAGAGGAGCCCCGAGGCGCTGTTAAACGCTGTATGTAAAACACACAGAACACACTACGTCTGTCTTTCTGACATGTCAGTTTGTTAACACCAATCAACAAACTGAAGTGTATCCACCTGTGTTTTTATGTCATTTGGAGAAATTTGAAAAAGGTTTCTATTTCATTAATTAAATGTGATGTCACATTTGGCTCCTAAAATGTAACATCCAAGTGTCAATACAAGAGCGTTTTAAAGCTGCTGTAATCAATAGTTTTATTAGAGATGCAGCCGATTGAAACCGTCCACGACCTCGTCTCGTATTTCATTTTTGTGCAGCATGATAGTCAACACTGACAGTAAAGTTACAGCCACACACACACACACACAATGTTGTCGGTGTGACAGACATGAAGACGTAATACTTTTCAATTTGTCACAACTGCAAGTCCAAAATAAGCTGTGGAGGAGCAACATTAAACACACTTTGAACAACTAACCTAATCAGACACTTGTATTGTGATTCATTCCCATCATGCAGCTCAGAGTAATCGGCTGAAGTTGTTGGAGGTTGCATTGACTTGCATTGTGATGCGTTCGAGCTTGACTCTACTCGGTAAAACTGAAAATTGGGCAAATAAATGATAACATTATCATGATGTGTTCAAATCTATTCTTGTAAAACGGAGTTTTTGGTGAGAAACTTGAATGAATCCAGTTGTTTGCAGCAGATGTTTTCACAGCAATATATAAAAGATAGAAGAAAGGGAATTATGAGCTGTTTAACTTCCTAACACCAGCTCTAAGACATCATTAATACGCATATATTTAAATAAGAATACAATCATTTATTTCCTAATCATTTGAACTATGTGTTATGAAAATGACCTCTACAGACTCTCAGCTCTGTACGGCTTCATAGAGACGTTTAGCTTCTTGTTTTGGTTTTCTGACCTGCGTCACTGTTTTTGTTCACTGCTCTCATAGTGTTGCCGAGGGCAGCTGTTTAATTTTCTGCAAAAAAGCTCTCAAAGCCCACCGTTTACTACCTGCTCAGCAGCCGGACAAAGTTAGCGACTAGCTGGTGAACATAGTGGAGCCTTCAGTGGAGCCATATTCTCCTCCTGGAGCTGGTGGAGGCCGAACCACAGCTAAAAACAGAGAGAATAGTGTGCGTACATTCACCAGCTCGTCAGAAACGACTCCAAATGAATGATGTGTAAACTGCTTGCTAACAAGTTGAGAGGTTACAGTATGTCAGTATTGTGTTGTGTTCAGCTCGTTTCGTTAATGCAGGTTAAAATCATTTTTCAAAAACAGAACAGTTTCTTTGCTGAGCCGCTGTGAGGGAAAGTAGCATAAAGATGAAACTTCTTACTACAAATACTAAAAAACATTTTTATCTTCAGCTGAACTCTAGAAGGCATTTTGGCACAGAAGGAGAGCTGTGTAGTTTCAACAGTTGTGTCCAGTGAGTCTGATCGTGGATTTAAAGGGAATTGATCTGTCAAGCCCACTTCATTTGATGAGCTCCACTTCTCTAATAATCTGTTTTTCCTCCTCTACGTGCAATGTTCCCTGCCTCTCCATCAGTCCTCTGTCCTTCTTGTTTCATCTGTCCATTCTCTCTACAGTCTCCCCCCTCTCCCTCCTCCCCTCAGCCTGAAGTCCAGGTGTGCACCCCCTCCGCCCCCCCTCCTCCTGACCTGGTCACGGAGGTCGAGTCCCCTGGCCAGCGCACGGTCGAGGTGGCCATTCCCAACGTGGGGACCTTTCTCATTGAGTCAGAAGAGGGGGGGTACGATGATGAGGTAGCCCTCGCCCAGACACACCCTCCTCTCCCGTTTTTGTGCTGACTGTGCTTGTTTGACATATGGTGTGAGGGCATCGTTGCCTGCTCACACGGCTCTGCAGAAGGTTTTTCACACCTGAGACAATCTGACCCAGGATCGGCATGAGGAGGAAAATGCTGCGCAATGAGACGGACCTCTTTTGTTGGCCTTCCTGCGTTACTCTGGTGTGAAAAGTCTCTCCTTGAGCGAGTCTGCATCTTGGCACAGAGGCGGGTTGACCTTTTAGCAGAACACTACGGTCTGCTTCGTCACACAGGTCACTCTGAAGTGAGATCAGAGCACAGGCCCATATTGGGATTTGAAAAAGCTGTTGTATGTTGAAACCTACCTTTCTCCAGTGTATAAAACCAAATGCTCACATGGAGGATGTTTGTTATAGTTTGCACATACTTCATGAAGTTATGATATGCTTTCTTTTTTTGGGGGGTCAGCATGATATCAGCAGTAGATTTAGGTCAGTGCGTTCTGAGTGAGTTGCTGCTGCTCAGTATTCCTGACTCCTGCACTGTTCACTATCTGCCTCACCATGGCTGTCAACCAATATTCTAAATTTAAATATATATATACATACATACACACACACACACACAACAACCGTAATGTTGTCAGAGAACTCAACCACAGAGAGAGATGTACCGTGTCCTAACGGCAAGCACTGTTACGTCGTGTAAAAAAACACCTTTCATATGTCAATCCAGATCAGACAGGAGACATAATCACCGAAAAGATTAGGTCAGTTGTACTTGTTAGTACTTTGTTCTTTTTAAACAGAAATCACTTGATTGATATTGCGATATTTACTGGAAATAACACACAATGTAGCCAACAGCAAGTAGGAAGCTCTCGGGCGATCTCCCTCCAGCCAGCTGCCTCCTTATTAAGGTTTTTGGAGTGAAATGAGGAGGTATCGTTTAGATAACTCCTCATTTCAACTTCTCCAATCAGCCGTTCCTTGTCACACTTTGGAGGCGCGCGGCAGGAATGAATAGAAACGGGGCATCTGATAAAAGGTCAGAGATACGTGGTGCTGCGTCGCTCGGGGCCAGTTAGGACACGGTGTCATGGACGTGGCAAGAATGCCCTGTGCCACACACAGCTGCCACACGGCGTCCTAATGAGGATCCCGCATCGTGCCGTTGAACCGAATGCTGTGTGTCTCACAACTGCGTGGCTCTAACCAATGCATGGACTTGCTGAGTGATGACCGGCATGCAGCACGCTCTATTGTAGTTGCCTCCAGGCACATAACACAGTGGATGACCTTGCTCGGTTTGGTCACGAGGGCCTGTTGTTTTGTTTGACATGGTTCCTGCTTCCCTGGGCAGGCGATGATGACCCCCAACATGCAGGGTGTAATTATGGCCATTGGCAAATCCAGCAGCGTGTATGAAAAGAACGGGCCTGAGACCGCCTTTTTTAAGGTACACACTCCTACCTCTCCTCATCCCACCTTCTCTGTAATGTGTCCTCTCATGTGTACTTTCTGCAGTGCAGTGTACAGGATTTAAAAAGTTACGGTAACGGAGAAACTCTGAGTAACTGAGGGAAAGGTATCTGTATTCAGACAGGTGCTCAGCTCGAAGCCGCTCAACTGTTTGGGCAGCACATTAGATTATTGAAAGCTGCCACATCCAGTCTGCACCCCCGATGTTGCCAAAATCATTTTGTTTTGAACTTTCTAGTAAAGTGTTCAGACCCTTTTTAAATGGGCTACCGTTTAACTTGCCTCTCAAATAGAACGTGACGGTTCCACATGCCACTTCTCAGTAGGGACGTTGTAGAGTGAAACAAAACAGAGATCAATTCCTAATGGGGGAAAAGTCAGATGCAAATCAGCATCCCTAAATTGGCTCCATCTCAATAATATACTTGTTAAATTGCATATGCAACAGTTTTTTGCAACAGAGAGAGAAGTGCTGAAAAGAGAGCGAGTGAATGTGTTTGATATTCAAGCACAAGTCCCACAGAGACACATCAGCCTGCTGCAGACTCTGAACACCCACTGAACCTGTGACTTCTCCACAACGCAGAGGGAAGATGGCGTGCTTATGATTGCGCACGGCGTTTGTTGTCAACACGTCATTATTGGCAGCGGCTTAGTCCAACATTTACAGAATCCATTAGACTGTTGCAGTCCCACCACTTTAATTTGATCTCTTGAATTATTTTGCAGAAATGTGAGCACACATTTGAAAGTGCATCATGACTCCAGAAATCAACTCAAAGTTATGAAAACAATCACGTTAGAATTTCCTTATAATTGCATGTTCTCGACCCAAGAGGACCAGAATCAGTAGTCGTATCCATGTCCATACCATCTCAACCGCAGTGGGCTTTTAACCATGACTTGTCACCTCTTTGTCCCTCTGCTCAGGCCATAAAGCTGGAGTATGCTCGTCTGCTGAGGTTTGCTCAAGAGGACACACCTCCTGAGAACGACTACCGACTACAGCACGTCATCGTCTACTTCATCCAAAACCAGGCGCCCAAGAAGATTCTGGAGAGGACTCTGCTCACTCAGTTTGCTGACCGGAACCTGGCCTTCGATGAGAGGTAGGTTAGGCCACTGGTTCCCAACCCGGGGGTCACAGGGGTGGAAGACAACTTTTCAAACAAAATATAGCTGGCCTTTATCTCAGCATTTCAGACATTTCTGTGAAGACAATTAAATGGAATTGTCATTTTTATAGTTTGGATTATTCTTATTATGTACACTTTAAAAGACTTCACAGGATGAAAGAAGGAAGACCTGAACACAAGTTTTATTCACAGCCTTCTCTCTCTGCTGAACCGCCTAGTTTAAAACAACCAAAGAGCTAATAAAACAATGGCCAAGCGTGAGGGAGAGGAAAACAATGAAGAAGGCCATTATGTATGTACGATTGTTAAAAAAACAGAGGATTGTATTAAAAGTTCATAAAGGACTTGAACTGGAAATAATCTGCTCAAAATGCATCCAAATTGCTCTTATGACACAAACCTCCTGCAGTTATCACGTTATATCCAATCACAAACTATCCATAAAATATGTCAGGGGCCGCGTCAGTTTAGAGAGTGTCGGTTAGACTGTACACTCTGCCACAACGTTGTGTGTTAATACAAATGTGCTATAAAATGAAGGGCACTTAATGGAATGACTTAAACTTAATGCACTTACTCATAGTGACCAGCAGAGGGCAGCAGAGACCTTTCCTCTGACAAACCGGTTCACTGTCTCCCTGGTCAGCACTTCACTGCTGCAAGTCCGTTCAAGCACTGATCTTAGGAGACGCATGACTTTTTAATGACTTTTTTTATATACTGCTGGAAAATATCAAGATTCCCTCCCTATGAACATTGTGCTGTTCATGTCATTAGGGTACGCAGTGCCCCTTACTATCTCTTAAAACTTTCCAGCGACGCTTGATGGCCTCGATCCATATTCATGAGTGAAGAATTGATTTCTCCCTTCTCTGCTATTTTGAGCGAGATAATTAGATATACGTGTGCATGTGGCCTCAATAGGAGCCTCCGGAGGAGTGTTTCACTTCTCCTCTCAGCACTAAAGAGTGATTTGTGAGGCCATGTTGAGGCCTAGGGCCAGGGTGGACTGTTTCATCTCCTGGAGTAGCTCACAATGACTCATCGCTAACGCCGGCTCCTCTTCCTGTCTCCCCACAGATGTAAGAGCATTATGAATGTGGCACGTGCCAAACTGGACCTAATCAAACCCGAGGAGGTCAACATGGATGAATACGAGGTCAGCAGCGGTGTCTTTACTCGTCTAAAATAGTAGATTTGAGTCTTTTTATACAGCGTTTAATGCAGTGTTATACATTCTCTTTGCTGTGACATTAAAATGCCAGTATTTGCAGGTCGATGTGCATTTGAGTGAGCCTTTCGACGCTGACCTCTGTTTATCTTCATCAGATGTGGCATCAGGCTTACCGGAATTTCCGCGAGACAACAATCTTCATGATGACTGGCCTGGAGCTCTTTCAGAAGACAAAGTATGGTGACACCTTAGCTCTGCTCCTCCTAATATCCAGCAGTGGAAACATTGAACTATTTTATTAGAGCTTTAACTCGTGAGTTTAATGTTGCGCGTGACATTTGTCTTCAGTTACTTCCCCGTGTGTCATGGCCAGTGAATGTTGAAATGTCACCTGCAGAGGGCGGCAACTCTGTCTGTGCAACTCCCTCACTTTGCAGTTGTGCAGTGAGTTCATCGGGTTTATTTCCTCTGTGAGACGGTTCCCTTTCATAAGTCCTCGGTGCAGCTTTCATACTGTTTAATCTGAGTGTAACATCTGTTTATCTTCTCTTCCCCCAGTTACATGGAGGCTCTGATGTATCTGATTTACTCATACCAGTACAACAAGGAGCTTTTGTCTAAAGGGCAGTACAGAGGGCACGACGAGGAGCTGCTTGGTCATTACCGTCGAGAGTGTTTGCTGGTGAGGCACTGTGTGCATGTGTGGATTCTCTATTGAAATGAGTGGATAACAGAGGGTGTTACCTTTGTGTCCAGCAGCTCTGTCCCTGGGATCCCCGTCTCCTCCGTATCGGACGTCCCACTTTGTCCCCGCTAAAGTGACTCAGCAAAACTAACACGGACAGACATTGCTCCTTCAGTACCGAGCTGTGGCACGATAATCAAATTTGCTCTCGCTGAGACATTGCTTTGGCTTGCTCGCAGGCCACAAAAGATTCGACTGAGGGTTTTTTTTCATCCGATGCTGCCAGATGAAAATCCTTTCAGCGTTTTGCGATTTTGTGAGGCCCCTTTTCATTTCAGCCCCTCCAAAGCTCCAGGCTGTGCACTGTGTGTTATTGGTTAGGGCTGAGGGTATATTGGTCAGATCGGCCTCGCACTAGTCCTCGCGGTGCACTCAGTAACCTTACACCAGCATTGTGCTCATAATGTAATCATTGGAGTGGGAATAGGAAGCAGGAGGGCCAGCGAGTGTAAACACATTAGCATGAGACACAAGCGTGTCCTCGGCTCACCTCAAACCTCAGCCCCGCATGGCCCGATCGGTCATCTCAGATCTCTGGCCAGAACCTCTGGCTCCGTCTGCTCAGCTGTTTACCTCCAGCTCTTGTTTTAATTGAAAACACTGCTAACATTGACACAGTTAATGTACTTGGGTGTTTTCTTCCAGCCCCACAGTCCCTGGTTCCAAACTGGCTCGCATTTAAAAAAAAAATACAAAAAAGCTTGTTTCCTCAGAGAGGAGGTCAGGGAGTTTGTCTGTGACAGCAAGGGGGTTTGGACAAGAACCGCAAGAAAAGCTTGAATCCACATGAACCTCAGGACCCTCTTCAGTTCCAGTGGCAGGAGATTATTCTGTGATATTAACGGTGCTGTGAGGTTACTATGGGTGGAAAACGTCTCTAGAAAGAATAAAGCAAGAACAGGGAAATAAATGACGCAGTAAAAATGTCAGTCAGCAAAGTTCTTTCATATCTTAATAATCTTCGTATTCTTCAGAGTCCAGAGCAGAGGTTTTCACCCTGTAAAGGTGGAGCTGTAGTTGTGAAACATGAAAGTATATCAAAGGCTCCCTCTTTGGCCGTTGACTCCAGGGAAGGGAAGACGAGTTCGGCAGTAACGTTACGTTACCACAGTAAAAAGGGAACTGCCCCAGAAGCCCCGCCCCCTTTGTTGCACTGTGTGCGTTGGGCATGTTTAGTCAACGTTTTTAGAACTGAATGTGTCTCGTCCTTTGGTCCCCAGCAACACACACACACACACACACACACACACACAGTCATACATAAAGACAGACATTCCTTGCTTTCTAGTAATATGAATGAATGTATTAGACAACTGTCTTAGTAACTCCTATAATCTCCTGCATTAAAGATTCTTCATGGTCTCCCCCCGCAGAAATTAAACGAGCAAGCGGCTGCCATGTTTGAGTCAGGAGAAGAGCCAGAGGTGACCACGGGCCTGGGCATCATGAATGAGCTGGTGGTGCTCTGCATCCCACTGCTGCTGATCCACGAGACTGAGCGAGACCTGCTGGCAGTGGAGGACATGAGGAACCGCTGGTGCTCCTACCTGGGCCAGGAGATGGAACGTGAGTCCCTGAGAGAGAGACAGACACGGCCTATTCGATATTTCTGGAGAGTTGAGGTCCTAGGTTACTAGAACATTCCCAAAGATCATCAGAACCAGGCCACAGCTCGGTTCACACGGTCGACAGGCTTTGAGGTCGGCCAGCGTTTCCACTTGTCCTGGGAAATCTAAATGTTGCTCCCCAGCAATGACCGCTCTGCCAGTGGAAGTCTAAGGTATAAGAGATTTATTACAGATTACTAGACATGTTGGTCTCCTCAATGCAGCACTTGCATTGAGTAAGTGCTTTAGGGCTCACTATAATATAGTTCTGAGGACATTTTAAGCGTTAGTCTAATCAGACCAGTGTTTTACTATAATGTCATCATCATCTGTTTATACATTAGCCTCCGCTTATGTACGACCAGAGAAGAAGTAACAGTTGTTGAAAAATGCTACTAAACAGTTCTATCTGCTAATAGTGTGATAAACTAGATCTGCAACAATTACAACAAACAAAGAAGATTAGACAGTGAACTAATCAGCAAGTATTTTAATAATCGATTAATCATCATTTACTGACTACCAACGATGGGAAATTTACTTCAAATATATGTATTTTTTTTCATATGTGATTTTACTAAATATCTTTTGATTTTGAACCATCTTTTGAAAATATCACTTTAACTCTTTGAACTGATAATAATTTTTCACCATCTGACCTTTTGTAAGAACACAATGAGTCAATTATTTGATGAAATAACCTGCAGACGAATCAATGAGAATAATGATTAGTTGTTGCCATATTAACAAATGTTTCTTAGAAGTGGGATTTAATGTGAAGTGTTGCCAACTGTCAGTATGTCTCCTCATCCGCATATATCTTCAGAAATGGCACAAATACATTTAAAGCCAGACTAGTGCTGAAACAATAAGTCGATAAATGGAAGGCCAAACGTTTGAATTTAAATCATGTAAACTGAAGTTGTTGCCGCCCCACGTACGACCAAAGATGGTCTGTCAGATTGCACAAAGAAATCTCTCCTGGAAAATAATGTCTGTGTAAAGAAATGCGAGTGAAGAGGATTCAGCTCTTATCAGCATGTTCCAGTCTCTCTCACAGTTCCTGGCCTGTGTTCAGGAAAAAGCTGAGTATTATCACCAGCTCCACAATCTGTTTCTGTTGTGGAACAGGCTTTCAAGCTACGCCTGATATCACACGGAAAATATTTACCCTGTGATTTCTGCGTTTAGGAATCTGACTTTCACCACTTTGTGTGTTGCGAGGCCGATCCAGTTAATCATTCCCTTTGCTCCTGTCTGTCGTCCTCCTCCTGCTGCTGCAGCCAGCCTCCAGGAGAAGCTGACCGACTTCCTCCCCAAGTTGCTGGACTGCTCGACGGAGATCAAGAGCTTCCACGACCCTCCCAAGCTGCCCAGCTACTCCACGCTGGAGCTGAGCGAGCGGTTCGGCCGCGTCATGGCCGCTGTGGGCAGGGTGCCCACCGACGGGAGATGAGCTCCGGACGGACACCTCTCCACCATCGTGGGCCCGACCCGGCCGGACATCCATGGAAGTCTCTTAACCCATGCCTTCCTTCTAAATCCAGGGGTCTCTTGCTTTTAGCTGTTACTCCTCTGTTACTCTTTTGCTGCTATAGATTTTACCATTATAAATATTATTTCACTTTTTATTTTGAAGCAGAACAGAACAGAGGAAGGAGGGTGGACTGTTGGGGAGGGAATCGAGAAATGAGAGAGAGATGGAAAAACACAGTGGCAATCCTGCAGTGGTTGAAAGCCAAGCACGCTGCTTCAGCTTTTTTTTTTTTATTTGAAAGAAACCACGTTTGAGGGTTTTTCATAGATTATTATTATTGTTGTTACTGTTTGATTCAAGCTTCCCCGACCGCACTCCTAACCCTTCCTGAAGCCCCCTCCTCTGCTGCTCCGCCTCCACTTTGGTACAGTATTACCACGCTTTGTTTCTTCTTTCTAAGGAAGTGAGAAGGAAGAAGCCTTCAGAATTATCATGCGGCTCAGAGCATCTCAGAAGGGTCTCACGTCTCTGTGGACCGCCGGCAGAATGAGCTGTTTTCAGTGCTGTGGTAGACGGCCACGCACTTCCTGTGGCTTGTTAATACATCAAGAGAATAAAGTTTTATTTATGGCCCTTTTAGGCCAAATAAACAAATGTTTTGCCTGATGTTGACTTTTGTTTTGCTTACCCAACAAGATGGACACTGACATTATTATTATTATTATTATTATTAATGACATATATGTATATATATATACTGTATATTTGAGACATTAAGGTGATGGGAAGCCTAACTTGTGAGCATGGTAAGTATCACACTGACCTGATATCTGTTGTCAAAGACCTGCATGTGACCCTGTGCTCATTCAGCTATTATGCAGCTTATTAGAATCAGACTTTAATAACTTTCATTTCAATGATGCATTTTTGGACTAATTTACTGGAGAAATACAAATTTCTAGGAACTCTGATCGCTACAAACAATCCGTGTGATGAACCAGCATCGTCTCATAAATCAAAATCCTCTTTTGGAATAGTCTTGAATTTGACTCCACCCATAACTCAACGCCGCTAAAGTCATCAATCTGGAGGAATGTATGTTCTCCAGTGTTTTGCACAGATTGGGTTCCCTGCACACGTCGCCCTGTTTAGTCATGAAAGTAGCTGATGTTTAGCTCGTCACACGCTGTACTGAAGATCTGAGCTCTGTTTCAAACCCCGTCTAGCTGTCCCAGGACCTGAAATACTTCAGCACACACTGATCACTTTGGCTCAGGCTGATGACACCGAGTCTGCCGTTGACTTGGGATGAACCTCTAGTGACGATTTCCGCTTGCTTGTGCGTTCCGTCACAGCTTCCTGTGCCAGTGTTGAGCCATCAGTGGAAAGCATGTCTTCCTTCTCTGGCTTCCTTTGTTGAACCGATGTTGCTGCACACAAGCTGTTTCGGAGTTGAGGCCATTTTTTACACAGTCGCCCACATTTTCAGGGACTTAAAAGTAATTAGACAAACTAACATAATTGTGAATATAATCATTATTTTTAATACTTGGAGGAAAATCCTTGACATCCTGAAATATAGCACCCATAGTCACCAAAAACAGTGAGCCTCCTTCAGCTGCTGCCTGTTTGTGGGTCTTTCTGCCTTCAGTGTTATCTTCAGTAAGGGAGAAGCCTGCTCACTTGGGTGTAAAGAGGCAAAATCACGACTTATGGCCCTGACTGTATTGTAAGTAATAGCCTACAGAAATAATATCAGAAAATGCTAAGAAGGGATTCATTGTAATGTATGAAATGAGGTTGTGACGCATCAACTGTAAGCAGCATTTTATTAATAGTGGACCTAGCTTGAACTATTTTATTCGGTAGTTTTTCCAGTGGTTCCCAACATCGGGGTCGGGCCTCTCCAAAGGGTCACTCCTGAGGGGTCGTGGGATGATTAGGAAAGAACAAAGAAATGATATGATTAATAACCTGAAAGGTATCTTGTTAATAGCTAATAGAGTAAAACTGCAAGTCTCCCCTCTGAATTGTAGTGGAGCTTGGGTATAGAAGAGCATATAGTAGCTCAAAGTTGTACTTAAGTACAGCACTTATGTAAATGTACTTATACGTTACTTTTCAACACTTTGTCTTACTTTAACAGCTTTAATCCCAAAGTGTACCACTAAACAAAAATGAGTAAAAGATTGTCACTTACAAAAAGAGTTCAAATGTCTACACACACAATAAGAAATACATAGAAACGCAAAACCAAACGAATACTCGTCAGCAGCAAAGCAGCTCTGTATCTATTTGGTTACTTTAGCATAAAGAAAATAGACTGACCTGAGGTGAGTGGAGGAGTTTTCAACCGTTTCTCATTTCTGCCATTTGGGGAGTTTCCATAATGCACTTTTGGGGTCGTCTTGCCTCTCTTTACACCTCCAGGCCTCACAAGCCTTCCTTTGCTACTACGTCCATCCTTCCTGCTGAACGCACTGAAGCACATTGAACAAACAGAGGAGGGAACTTTCCCCACTGAGACAGCAGCTGGTGGGAAGACTTGTTGAGTGTGACAACAGTCTTCTCTTTCCTGATCCTCCATCGTCTGAGCTCCTATAGACTCCCTGTGACACCTGATACGCTGACTCATCACCATCTGTCTTTGTCATAAGATCTGACAAGTAATTTGATTTGGAGATATATTGTATGTTGTCCTTGTTTTACCCGAGTTCAAAAAATAAAAAATAGCAGGGCATGACTTATCCGAGTGTGTGCATGTGGGCCTTCTGAGAGACCTTTCTAAGTAGACCTGGTTGGGATTGCAAATGTTTATGGGGCATTAATTATCATTATTGGCGGCGGTATCCCCTAATTTTTGCTCATTATTTCTATTGACTTGAAGTGGAGCATGAGGCCAAATACTGTGATGAATATGGAGTAGAGACAGAGGCAGTTTACTACGGGCCATGATGCTGATGGGCAGGCTTAATTAGTGGTTTGAAACCCAGAGGACCCGATACACGACCTGCAGTTTGTTAGAGAAGGGGAGAACAGCTGAGACCAACACACGCACCTCGACCAGGTCACTATAATTATATACTGAACAAAATTTACATTAACGAGTGCATATATATATCATACACATACACTTTGCTGATGCGCCTCTATGCTGTGTATTTCACAGCACAATACGTTATTTTGCACCTCACCTCACAAATATGGTTTAATTATCTGTAGTTGCAAATACATTTGTGTTAAAATGTAAGGTGGATTCATCCTTTATTGTATGCTTACATTCGGGGGCGGAATTTAATGCAGTAGAACATTTCTGGTATTTTTGGCATACTGCAACTATGTATTGGGATATACTGAATATTTCCCAGGCATACTAAATATAATGTTAATGATGGGTAATGGAAAATACAGACAGACTTGATAAACACAATGCATCATGGGTACTGATAACTGTGGTGCCGTCGGCGGACTTCAGTTATCGGCTATCGAAAACGACTCCTTTCAACACGGGTAAATGGATAACTAATCACAGAAGACATTTATTGTTGGATTTATTAGTTTCATAAAGTCTCTACAAAGTATGTGACGAAGCTTCTGGGAGGGACACGTCTCGAACCACCGCCCCCGTTGGAAGTCTACGGCGGTGACGGGGTCGCGGCCATTTTACAGTGAGTGGCAAGTCCGGGGCGTTACATAGATATTCTAAAAGATAGTAATTAGAGTACTTTGGTGTCATATACGAGACCAACACGTATCTCTACCACCGCCTCTTCCTTATTGCTTCTTTTTTTAAATGAATTGGCTAATTATTGTTTGCTAGCATGGCAGCCATTATCGCTGAGTTTCTGGTCTGTAGCTGCTTGTATCTGGTTAAACACTCGTGACCTGCAAATACACCTGACCATGTCCCTGGTAGCCACTGTACGTTTTTATGAAACTTAAATATTTATTGGAACTTAATAATCCCAATTGTGGCCAAACAAATGTTTGAAGTTTAGCAATCAGACATTTACGTGACTAGCAACAGTTCCCTTTGAAAACATGTTCACATTCACAGCTATTCGAGGTCAACAGCACCAGGGGCCTGTGGCCCCCAACCAAAAGGGCCTCTAACAGCTACAGATTTATTATGATGCTTAGATATGGAGAATATGGAATTGTGTTACCATTCTTAATAATTTTATACCCCAACATATCTTACAAAAGGCCCCACAGCACAACTCAACTGTATACTACTTACTGTCTACTCTGTCAGAGGAAATCATTGAAGTACTACATTTACCTGGTAGAGGAATGTTACGCTACAGATTGACATTTGACACATAATATAACAATTCACATATGATGCATTACTCTTCATTAAACTACCCAGCATCATATCAGAATTAAAAGCTCATTCTTAAACAGACATTAAGTACATTTATGTACATTGTGCTGATAATTACTATCTTTAAGTCTTTACTTGAAGTAAACATTTGATAAATAGTTTTACTATTAGGAGTTAATATTCTTACTGTAGAAGCATTTTAAAGGGCTTTAACTTTGAAAATACACAGCTGAATGTCCTGATACTGGTTTGAGTGACACTGAAGTGGTCTGCCGTCATTCTGAAGTGAAATGACTTTGAGGTAAAAGGCTTTTTGCTATTAATTCTGAACTCAATGTATTGGGAACATTGACAGATAGTTACTTTATTAGTCCCGCAAGGGGAATTTATGGTACAGGTAAAGCAATAAAAATAACAGAGTAAAGAATATTAAATATAAAAATGAAAATTCACAATATACACAATAGAAATAACAGTGAAAATATTTAATATAAAATGCACAATATATACAAGGAAATTGAATAATATTAAGATTTATTGCAACATTTTACATTACATTACAGTCATTTAGCAGACGCTTTTATCCAAAGCGACTTACAATTCAGAGTCTATCACATTTCTACACCGTAGGCACAGCTACGGGAGCAATTTTGGGGTTAAGTGTCTTGCTCAAGGACACATCGACATGCGACTAGCAGAGCCGGAGCCGGGGTTCGAACGGCCGACCCTCTGATTGAAAGACGGCCCTGCTATCCACTTAGCCAATAAAAAGGGCTTTTATTTAGAAAATCCACATCAGGATGCACTGATATTCTCTGAGTGATGCTCTGAGGTGGTCTGTGTGAAAATGAGTTCGTAGAAACATGACGTTTCTGAATCTGAGGAGGCTTACTGTCATTTTGTGACTCACAAGAGACATGAATGTTTTTAGTAAGACATGTCTTTGCTCTCACCACAGCTAGTTTCTAACTAGCTTACTGCCAGCATCTGTTCAAAGCCTCTCTGTTTTTAATGTGACACACTTGGCCACAAAGTCATGTAATGTTTCCTAAAAACACACTTTCCCACAAGCTTAATTGTATTAGAATTATTAATCAGTCAGCGACAAAATACATGCAATGTACTTGCAAGGCAAGGTTATTTGTATAGCACATTTCAACAACAAGGTAATTCAAAGTGCTTCACATAAAAAAAATAGAGATAAAAGTTTCATAGAGATTAAAGTACGTGAAGGTAATCAGTCAAACACCAAGGTTGGTCTGGATGTGTGCAGCATGGTTGAAGCTGAGATGAATTCAACTCATAATTCAGATGACTGTATTTATTTAGTGTTTCATCG